TATATATATATATATATATATATATATATATATATATATATATAATTCCGTTACACAAATCTATTATGGATGCGTTACGTGTGTACCTCGGTTTGCTCATCGTTCCGTTGAATGTTTGCTCTTATTATGATCCTTCGTGTAATCGTAGCGTTTGATATTATTTAGGATACAATTTGAATTTGTTCTGCCGACACAACGCCCGCTTCGGTTCTTTCACGCTTCGCGAGCCGCGCGCAATTTTTCACTGAAAAGCTCGTAACGCGTTTCATCGCGATCACGGTGTTCAATTAGGCGTTTAATGGAACGGCATTTCGCGGCGGCGGTCGGTAAGTCTCGCTTAATGAACGCGTAACGATTTGAGGATCGCAGATCGTTCGATTCTGCTGGACTCTTTCGGCGCGGGAAAGCGAGTCCCGCCGGCGACTTTTCGCGGACGGCGCAATCGTTTACGAGAGAACGATCGGAGACGGTCGAGAATATCGTAGGACGCGCTCGTCTCCTTGCTCGCCGAGGAGAGACTCCATTTCCGCGAGGACCGGCCCGCGAATTGCACTAGACGTAGCCTCTGTCCTTCTACATCCTTGTTGTTTTCAGCCGACTGCGTACGAGCAGAACGGAACAGTAATGTGATTGAAGACAGACAGATAGAAAAAAAGAGAGAGAGAGAGAAAGAGAGAAGGATAACGAAATAGCCAAGTGATACACGAATGTGTGTGTATTCGTATACGGATTGATTAATAAAGAGACGTTTCGATCGAGGATAGTCCCGGCGATCGCGCGAACGAAGTCATGGTCTGCCGCGATTGCGAAGATCGATCAATCGATCGGAAGAGGTGCAGGGACGAACGTCCATCGAAGAAAATTCGGGACGAATCAGGCTGTGACTTCGTGCGCGACGACGTCTGTTTGTTTTCTCTTCAGCGTACTTGCGCAGCGTCGTGTTGAATTCGTGTCGAGCTTCTGTCAGGAAAAAACACAAGGATTTGTTATTATGCGTGAGCTGCGTAACGTGCTGCGATGGATGTATCATTACACGGACGAGGCCGCGCGATCTAATGAAGTTCGCGCGTACAACGCTCGTAACTCTTGCGCGCGGAGCTCAGGGAAAGATCGGTCTGATAACTCGCTGATAACTCGAGATAGATAATCTCTGCGAAAGTGGTTCAGCCGGGGACTTTCTATGAAGCGCGGTTTCTCATCGCTTTCGTTTCATTTCCCTTCCTTTCTTGATGGGAGAAAAAAAAGAATTTCTGCGATTACGAGGATTAATGGGACGCGGTGATTTCACTCATTGTGTGTGTCCGACCGTACCTAAGAACGTAATGAAAATCTGATTAGAGTTGCGTCACGCATTCTGCGTCAGCGACTCGTCTGGATCGTAATGCTCGTTTTCGAGTAAAAGGAGACGAAGAGGGAATGAAAAGAAAATGTAAAAGTACCGTTGATTGGACACTAATATCACTAGTTAACCTCACAATTTCTTAATTTCTCTTCTTAACTTTAACTTAATTTTTTTAAGACTTGTGTGTGTCAAGAAAATATTTTTTATTAAATTTAATAATTTAACTTAATTTAAAAAATACGTTTTCTACTTATTTGTGCTAGTTTTCTTTTTATGGCTTATTTACACAGAAAGACACAGTAATATGTACAGTGATCCTACTTAAAAGAAGGAAAGTAAACTAATTGTTTGTCTTAGCAATGGAAAGATATTCTTCTGCGTGTGGATATTCTTATTGTGTTAGTTTTTAAGTACGATGAAATATACATATTTCACCTTTTAATATAGAATATATATACATGTTTGCATATATATACGTATATTCTATGCTAAAAGTTTAGATATATTTGTACTTTTAAAAACCAAAATGATGATGAATTAAATACCAGTGTTATTAAAATATCCAAACATTGGTACTTTTATTTTGGGACAAATTTACACTTTGATAGAAAAAACAGAAGCCAATTAGAATTTGCGCTAGTAAAAAAAAACAAAAACTGTCGACCAGAGTTGTGAAAATATTAAATTTTTCTCAATATTAATAATTTTTAATAATTAATTTGAAAAAATATATTTAACTAATTATAAGAATCGATTCAAACAAAATAAATCTAACAATATTTAATTGAAGATTGATTTCAATGTACTCAATTAAAAATTGTTTAATTGATGATTAATATGAGCGAAGAGAATCAAAGGTCGTTCAATTAAAAATTGAGTTTAGCAAATTTAGTTAAAGGCCGTGTAATTGATGATTAAACTTGGCAAATTTAATTGAAGGCTGTTTGACGATTGCTATGTATAAATTCAATCAAAGTGCGTTTGATTATTCAAGATTATAATCAGTTTTGTGGATAATATTCATTCTCTCTCAGATCGTGGCATCGTGGAAAATGCCACTAATTGAATAGGATCTACGTTAAAAGGTATATTAATCGTCGTCGCGACTCGTCGTGGATTGTAAAGCCCGTCTTCGAGTGAGAACTAAGCAACATAATGTCTAAAATCGGAACAAAGACGTCTTAAAGATCATCTTTAAGATATCATTCAGACGATTTACAGACAGAAATGTCTTTAAGGCGTCTTAAAGATTATCTTTAAGATGTCTGATGTCCCGATTTTAGACATTATGTTGTTTGGGAAGAAACGAAACGAGGAAAAAAAAGAAGTGTTGCGAGCAAGAATCGCGGCAACGATTGGACTGAGTACCAAAGGTGCGAACAGCTGATTTCGCGGCTGCTCCTCCATCCTTAGCCGAGATTGTACGTAATTAGAAGCTAATGTCACTTCGTGAGACGGCGTTGTCTAGGAAGAGCGAACTCACCGCCACGAACACTCCTGCGAATGCCGATGGCATAGTTCGAAAGTCAAATGCCACGCTGAAGCAATAAGCTGTTCGCCGAGCTGGTAACTCGTATCGATTCGTCGGCGAAACGGGGACGTCGAATTTTCTTCTTTTGTTCTTCGAACAGCACGTCGCCCGCTGGGCACACGATTGTACACTAGGTATATCGAGGCTGCGGTTAGAAGGCCATCGGCGGTTCTGGGACATCCACTGTACGCTCGTAACACGCGCCGAGGTCAACGTTCACGATAGCATAATCGCGTCATGTTACATCGATGCGGAACCCGCGAACGAAGTGCAAAAATGAGGACGCCGCGGGGAAAAAGGCTCAGGACTCGGTTTCAAGTTCTGCAAGGAAAAAGTGCCCGGACACGTACTGAATCCTGAGCATTCTTGTTGTTTTGGTCTTTAAATATGAAAATTGATACTTCCAACATGCAATACGTATACATTAGATATATGTATTGTTTACGTTGAAAGTTGAAATATTCGTATTTAAAGACCAAAACAATAAGAATGTTCGCGCCTACAGAAAAATATCATTCCCCCTCTCGTTATTGCTAACAGAAGTGATTACATAGTTTATTTTCCTTCTTTATTCTTTATTAGTAATGGTTATGGTAAGTAATAGTTCAACGAAGAATCTTTTATTATTGATATAGACTTAAGATTTACACTTATCAGAAATTTTAGAAAAACATTCATTATCATGTACTTAAAAGAAAAATTTATTCTCTTTAAGAATATTATAAAACTACATCAAAGAAAAAAGATATTGTTCGATTCTATGCAGTAAGCATACCGAAAGTTCGTTTTAATTCAGTATCCTTGATTGAAACGCTGAAATTATTGGAGTTCGAAATGTATCTTGAATAAATTGGATGCTTATGATGAACTTATAATATATTTGCGGATGTAGAAACTGACGTGTAATATTTGAAACATCCCGGACAGCGCAAATTACTAAAAGATGCCTTAAGGACGTCTTTTAGTATTTGGTGCTGTGTGGGAAAGTAACGTTCGTTTGAATGCTGTATATATTTTCTGTGCGTAGGATTCCAGAACTTTGCTTCGTGTTTAGAAATTTATTTTTGGACACGTTAATCGCTCGCCATTTCTTTCGCTTCTCACTTTTCCTTTCTTCCTGTCCCTTATATAATTGTTCTGTTTGTTGATTATTCGAGTAATTCTCCGAGCCGTCACCGTTTTGTGACTCCATTGAAGAACGATGTGTCCATGACGACAATGCATACCTGTCGCAGCTCCAACGATAGCACGCGCGCACAATCGCGGCAATTATCGCGATTGTCCGCGCGTCGCAACGAGCCGTTCGGAAATATCAATTAATGGCCGGCTTTTTTCCGCCGAGTTGAGGCTTTCCATCATTTTTTATCGCTGATCGCAAAAGCGGAATCTACATTGAGAAAAATCATCCGATAAAAAATTAACAAACGGATGTTTCAAATTCCGATCTATTTTTATATCTAATCAAGATATCCGATTAAATTTTATCAGATATTTCTGATTATAATGGCATTTTGTTGAATAAACTCGTGAAAAAATTATAAGTTAATATTTCCTGATCAGATACAAAAATTCATATTCAGATACAAAAATTCATATTAATTCAAAATTCATTTTCAGATACAAAAATTCATATTCATTAGTATTTTGATCGGAAATATCCGTTTGTTAATTTTTTATCGAATAATTTCTGTCAGTACACATGTTTATTCGACTTCAGGAAGCTTGCTTCATAGTAAACATATATTTCGAAAGCTGATAAGAGTTCTGCATAATTCATTGCATAATGTGAGATAAAAATTGTTAAAAATTAATAAAAAAAATCGATTGACCCATGAAAGGAACAAGATACTGCTCGTCAAGAAGAGGCAAGGTCTTCGAAGTTCCGCGAGTCGTGAACGGTCAAATCGATCGATCAGCGAGTGAACGGCGAGACGACCCGCTCATCGGCACTGCCGTATCAAGTGCGATGGTCGAGTGGAGGCATCGGTTCTCTAAGATCTCTAAATTCTCCGTAGAAAGGCGAGGGCACCGGGAAACGTAGACTGCGACTACGATGACAACGACGACGACGAAAAGGCTGATTGGCACACGGCACTGGCGATCGCGAAAGTGAAAGCCAGGTGTAATACACCGGCACACACACATGCATGGGACAAGAAACAACCAGAGCTGTCTGATCGACCTCGAAAACGCGTAACACACTCGAGCATAGTAGCGAGAGCAGCGGCAGATATTGCGTGATGTTAGAAAGGCTAAAAAAAATTGCCGGGAGAGGCGACCCGGCTTCCTCGTGCGCGTGGATAATGCGCGACTCGCTCGCTCGCTCATATCGAAACGCAAATAACACGCTAATCTCACGACACGCCAGTCGTTCGCGGCGTTCTCTTCATTGTGCTCGGGGTAATCGCGAATCCGCGAACTCGGGGCCATGATGGGAGGAAGAAGAGGCAGAAGAAGTGAAGAAGAAGAAGGCTACGGCGGCATTGTGATTCGCGCGCAATCGCCGGGTGATTTTCTCGAGTCGCATCCGCGCCTTTTCTCCCCGGCCTGTTATTAACTCCGCTCGTCCGTTTACCGGGCGTTTCCTTGATGAAACGATAAATAAAGCGTGACTACGGCTATGGGAGACAAAGAATAAAAAATACGTATGCACAGTCGGCCATTAGGTTGGAATTGTAAAATCGCGGACGACATCCGCGCGCGAGAAACTTTGTTTCATCCGTCGTATTAAGGCAAAAGTACTAACGTCAGAACGCTGATCCTGGACGTTCCTAGTTAGCAAAAAAATTATTGATAGAACGTTATTGCAACGATATTTAGTAATGTTTCCTAATATGTAGTTTTTAACGTTGTATCAACATTATTACTTGAATTTCTTATATTCTACATAAGGAAACAGCTCTTATCGAAAGATTAGATGAGATTAGACCTTTTCTAATGAGGTGAACTCTTAATGGAAAATCCACTAGATATTATTCTAACTATTTCTTTTTGAGTCAGAGGAATATGTTTACTCAAAGTTCTTTTATTTTTATTAACATTTTAATGGTCGGAATCTTATTAATACGCTTTCTTAAAAATTATCAGAAAAAGATTTCATTCTGTGCAATCTATAAAATTTTAAGCAAAAAAATCATTGATAAAATGTTATTGCAACGATATTTAGTAACGTTTTCTAATATGTAGTTTTTAACGTTGTATCAACGTTATTACGAATAATTTTGACACTTGAATATTTCTTATATTCTACATAAGGAAAAAACTCTTATCGAAAGAATATTCTTTTTCTAATGAGGTGGACTCTTAATGGGAAATCCATTAGATATTATTCTATTTCTTTTTGAGTCAGAGGAATATGTTTATTCAAAGCAGAATGTTATTTTATTTCTATTAACATTTTAATGGTCGGAATCTTATTAATACGCTTTCTTAAAAATTATTAGAAAAAGATTTCATTCCGTGCAATCTGTAAAATTTTAACACTTTTTTCCTATTTTTCTATTTATTTTTATTTTTATATTTAAATATTTAAATTCATTCTGTAAAATCAATAGAATTTGAATATTTTAACGGTTGGGAGTTTATGAACAAGCTTTTTTCAAAAGTCATGGCTAAAATTATAAGTAGATCTTAAATTTATTCTATAGGATTTTAACACTTTCTACATATACTCGTAAAAGTATTTTTTCGCTAAAAATAAAAGATTAAATTTTTAGACTTTCAACATAAAATATACATACATTGTGAATATACACATATATTCTATGTTCAGAAAGTTTCAAGTTCAAGTTTTATTCGTAATTGAGAACAAAAACAATAAGGATGTTCGTGATTAAAATATGTGTCCATGAGTCGGTGCTCTTTTTACTTTACTTTTCCGATTCCAAGCATTCGTTCTCTGAATTTCTCTGGATTAGACATAAAAGGAAGTATCGTTCAGGACGTTACGTATACAGGAATGAATCATCATTATCATTATTATCATAATGATCCATCGATTCCATTGTCCCTCGACAGATCTCCTCGCGATCGTTCTCGCGCCGCTGTCCTCGTTCGTTGGATCTGGATCAATGAAGAGTTCCCACACGTTGAGGAAGGATATCGTCCAAGATATCCTAAACAGCTCGAAGGCGATCGGGCTACTTGGCGAACGTTCTTGTTGTTGTTGCTGGCCTCGTTCGTTAACTCGATTAATAGATCAGGCCGCTCTCGCTCTCCTCTTCTCTCCCTCTCCTCTCTCCTCCGCTCTCTCCTCTCCTCTCTTCGTTGCCTCTCGTTGCCTCGCACGATTGTCACGATGAATCGCGATGGTCGACCAGGTTTGCCGACCGGATCTCCAACGGTACCGTACGGTACCCCAGGAAAAGCAACCACGGCTACCTCCCCGATCCGCAGCACGCCGACGCGAGATCTCAGTTTGTCACGTTTAACCGGTGCGCGTGGTCCGACCTATCGCGTCGCTCTCTCGCCAAGAGAAGAGATTCGAGTACGTGTGGTGATACCAGGATCGCGCAGATCGAGTGCGAGCAATTCAGCCTTCTGCAGGAGAAGAAGAAAGAATTGTTAGTTAGATTCACCTGTGTTCTCGCCGTTTTTATTCGTAATTTCTTCCTTTCTTTCTGTTCTTCTGGAGAGAATAGCGCGAAGCAGCCGGAGGGCTTCGGCCGAGTGCGAAGGAGTTCTCGAGTGTACGCTATAGATATTGCAAAAGCACGTGTGAACATGTTCCGCGAAGGCAATCTGAGAAGCTCGCAAAACGTCTCAAAGCGTGTCCAACGATTGCTTAAGGAGTATCTCGCGTTTACTCGAGAAGGATGTTCAAAGAATCACTAATTAAAATACGCGTCTCTCGCTTACGCTCTGTGCAACGCCTTTACGTAACGATTGCAATATCTTCGTATGCTGCGTTCAGCAGAAAAAACTGCCTTGTGACTGTCGCAAAATCTGTGAATCTGATTGGTACGTGCTCTTAGATACGGCCAAGATTAAGAGCGCACTCTAATCAGGGTCATGAATTTTATTAGTGTTGCAGAGCAGTTTTCTCCGTTGAACGCAGCCAATGTTTCATGAATGAGTTTATATTTTACAAAAGTCGAAAGCAATATCTTTCTCTCGGATTTATTTATGGATTCTCTGTTTTCTTATGACATCCCGAGTCGAAATTTTAGCCCTATGTTAAATCTTGAATTCTACAACGCAGTAGGAATTAAGTGAGCAAAGTAAGTTTAATTCTAATGAGTTCTATACACTACATACGAATTTTACAGAGTTTACTTCTACTTTGACTCTGATAATGTCCGAAATTTCCCTTTTCACTTTCTTCAGCGTCAAAATAAGTGTCGAATGGAATAGTGAGGCTGAAAGAGTAGGATCAAAATTTCGACTCAGAACTGCTTTCGATATTCCCTATGTCGTTTTCCCATGTATCTTCCTTCTACAGTTTTATTCGCGGATTTTTTCGTACCGTTGACTTCTTATTATGATTTGACCGCGATCTTCTGTGTCAATGTTATCTCTTTTATAATTATCGCTTCCGCCAGTTCCCACATCGCGAATTTCGATATCGTCCTTGTTGCTATTTTCATTTTGTTTCCCGTTATCACGTAAATGCGATTAGCGTCCTTTTTAGACGGACGTCTGACTCGTCCGGACAGGTTTCCTATTTTCGCCGATCTCGTCGGCCTTCCGTTCCGTGCAATTATCGCTCTCGGATCGGCTCCGTTTTTGTCGGGAAACGCGACAAGTTTAAATACGGTAATGCATTAACACGTTCAGCGATCATGCCGAATAGGAATGTAGGCTTGCCGAGCCGCGGTCGTGCGTTACGCGGTATCGAAAATCGAGCGAAAGTGCTCGCGTCCAGGCGACGTGGCGTGCAATTCTACAAGTCAGAGAACCGACTTCCCTACTACGACAGGACGTAGAGCTTCGTCCTGCCCTGTCGCGAATATTCCGCCCTACTAGAAGATGTTCATTGTTCATTAGACGTTTCGTCATACTTTCTATCTGCGGACCAGAAGTCGCGCGCGCGTCCAATTTGAAGGAAATCCCCCGAGTCGAAATTTTGATCCTGTGTTGAATCTTGATTTCTACACCGCAGTAGGAGCTAAAATAGCAAAGTCGGTTTAATTCTAATAATTACTATAATTTACTCTTACTTTGACCCTAATGATGTCTGAAATTTCCGCTTTCGCTTTCTTTAGCGTCAAAGTAGGTTGTATAATAGTAGAATCTTAGGAAGCAAAGTACATATATATACAGTGAGTGTATACATTATATTATTAGAATTAACCTATTACTTTGCTATCTTAGCTCCTATTGCGGTGTAGAATTCAAGGTTCAACATAGGATCAAAATTTCGACTTGGAAATGAGTATCAATATCGTCAAAATAGGTTTCACCTAGGTCGTAGATGATCTAAGTAGTCTTAAACTATTTTTAAGAGGTCAAAGTAGCGTTAAAATTTTGACAAGGTAGAGTTAAAGGTTCAAAAGAGAAGTTAATGAGTATCAATATCGTCAAAGTAGGTTTTACCTAGACTATAAACCGTCTAAGTAGGCGCAAACTATTCTCAAGAGCGTCAAAGTAGCATCAAAATTTCAACTCGGGCCCACGGAAAGACGACGCGAGTTCCTTTCCGCGCGCAATTTTTCGCATAACACCGAAGTGTTCAGCGATCGAAGGAAGGAGCGCGTGCGCGCTGAAAAAGCGATATCAAGAAGAACGCGATTGCTCGTTTGCTTCGCGCTGTAGTGTCGTCGCGTGTATGTAAATCGCTGACGAGTGACACAGAAATGCACCTAGCGTTAGGAAATATCCGGTCGAGTTGAGGATAACAGCGAGGTGAACCTTTCCGCAGCGGGACATGCGGGAATTATTTCCGTGTAAATTAAAAAAGCGTTGTATGTATGACGTATGAGTGTGGTAACCCGCTGTGGGAAATACTGTATGCAGTTGGCGTAGTGCGAGACCGCGTTGTTGCTGCACTGCATCATTCAGCGTGGCTTTTGAGCGTGAAACAGTCGAAAAATCGATTGCTCTCTATTTTTAACGGCAAAGCCAGTTGAAAGTTCAAGATCAGCTCGCCCCGTGGCTTGTGTCTCTGAAATGACTCTTATTGAATATTTAGGGCATGAAATAAAATTCTCCCGAGAGAGAGAAAGAGAGAGAGAGAGAGAGGGGAGGGGGAGAATACCGGTGTAAAATGAAGAAGCAGAGGAAAAACCATCCGCACAAATCCGCGTATTCGTTACGGTCACATGTTGCCCGCCACGCGGATCCGCGTGCACGTTGTTCAAGGTGTTAACCGTGTTACGAGCTATTAGCCGCTCGTTGAAGTTAGAAAATCTCGGCCTCGGCGAGAATCGAGCCATCCCATCGCGGGGAAACATTACTTTCCCTCGGTGCGAAGCGACGATGCATTTTTAAAGGGTTCGCGCGGCCTCCTCGAATTTTTCGCGAGCGACATCTCGCTAAGTTCGGCGCGAACAACACGAGAAAAAGAAAACTCCAGTTCGCACAACTGAGTTAACTTAACGAAAGTATGTTTTCTGTATGATTTCAATATGATGAGTAATTATTTCGCGAAAGTAATCATTTTAATTCGATAACGAATGCAGCAACGCTCGCGTGGGAGATAATGCTTGCGATCCACCGTTTTTGGATCTGCGACGATCGTCCTCCGTCTGTTATTACGTAACGCATGTAGCGTTATTTAAAATTACGAATGATGGTTCTCTAACCATCGGGTAACCGGTACACGCGCTATTTCGTTCGATAGTGGCCTTCGGCGATCCCGTCGCTCGACGCTGAACGGGAACGAATCCTCAGTCCTTCGAGCACGAGCGACGCGTGCGGATTTAAATTCGCACGTGTATGTGGCTTCTGGTTTTTTTGCGCAATAAACACGACAAGCCGCTGTAGACGATTTTACACGGGGACTCGACGACGGCTCGAATCTCCAAGGGATCTCACAAACTCCTATCGTTGAAGAAAATAAACGGTAAAATACGCTTAATTATGATTCGCATGCGGAGGACGTCAGCAGGTTTCCGCCGACAGCCGCGGCGATCCTTTCGCAATGTACCTCGCGTCGAGGGCTTCCCAATTTCTCTAGCCGTCCTCGCAGTCGCGAGTACCGTTGTTTTCACGAGCCGTTACATCATTGACATGGCAAAGGAGCCGAGACGTTTGTGAAACACATGCGGTACTCGTCGGCGGAAAATAACGAAACAGAATTCTTACGCGCAGCCGAGAGGAAACAGGCGTTGTATCAGTGAGCGCTATTTCTATCGTTGGTCCTTCGTATACTCGCTCCTTGACGACAGTTCTTGTCGCGGGTGTCGGTAGAAAGGTCTCGCGACTTTGCGATTATTCACGTATGCGCGCTAATTACCGCGTGTCGCAAAGGCCGTCGATTCTCAAGGAGAAATCGGCCGCAAGCACGATATTCGCGATACGCTTCTAAAGTCCTGCTTTCGCGCGTGTCTTTTGCCGCCAGACTGTCCGCCGTGATCCTGAATCAACCCGAGGAAGGCCCAGGAAGACCCAGTCCCGCCGACTTGCCATCTATCAGTCGTCCTGTTCACGGGAGAGACGAGTATGCGCTGCCGAGCGTCGTCGGTCGTCCTCACGCTCCTGATCGCGCTGTTGGATAGCGCGATCGGCAATCTGCGCGTCGTCTATCAGTGGAAGCAGATCGAGTATGACTGGCCGAGCAACGACACCAAGAGGCTTTTCCCGGACTACAAGCAGGAGGACAACCTGCCCCTCGGCTTGGAAGTGGCCGGCGACCGGATCTTCGTCACGGTGCCGAGATGGAGGCAAGGAGTCGCCGCCAGTCTCAATTATATTCGGCTCAATGGTGATTGATCAACGATTGTCATTTGCGTTATCGTTACTCCTCGATCTTCACGGCTTCTCTTGTTGCTTCCTCGCCGTCAGACACCCGCGAGTCGCCACCTCTGATCCCCTACCCGTCCTGGGAGGCACATCAATACGGCGCCGCCGGCGTGCCGGAGATCGTCTCGACGTTCCGTGTGCGCGCCGACCGCTGCAATCGACTGTGGGTCTTGGACACCGGTCTCGCCGACATCCTAGGCAATCCTGAGCAACAGGCTCCGCCAGCCCTGATCGTCTACGACCTCACCAACGATCGCATGCTGCGCAAGTATGTGATACCGGCTGACCAGCGCACCGCCGACTCCTTGTTCGCGAACATCGCCGTCGAGGACTACTCCTGCGAGGACTCATACTGCTACCTGGGCGACCTCGGCGGCCCGGGACTCGTCGTATACTCCTGGAGCCTCCAGCAGTCCTGGCTTGTCAAGCATCACTCTTTCCATCCGGATCCGCAGGTTGGTTCAGGAGCGAGGCATAGCAGCGATAACGAAGCTGTTAACGCATGATAATAATAATCGGAAAATCATATAATAATTATGTATCATCGTTAGATAATTGTTATATAACTCTTATATAATCGTTATATAATTGTCTGTCTCTATGCTGGCAGGGTGGAGACTTCAAGGTGTCAGGGATAACGTTCCAATGGAACGATGGTCTGTTCGGGATGGCTCTTGCTCCTACCGGCGATGGCTACAGCACCTTGTACTATCACCCGCTATCCAGCGGCATGGAGTTCTCCGTGAGCACGCGGTTCCTGCGCGATCCACAGCGCGCCAGTACCGCGGGTATGTCTAAAGGAAAAAGAATACTTGAGAGAGAGACACACAGAAAGATATAATTGTATTGCTAAGCAGAGCGGTTACTCACTCTTCTTTTAAGTTAATGGTTAATGGATACACAGAAAGAAATAATTCTATTGCTAAGAAAAGCGGTTGCTCACTTTTCCTTTAAGTTAATGTTTACCTCCAACAAAGTATATTTTCGTGATATCACACTTGAAACATACTGATCACAAATTTTGGAGAACCTCATTGTCATGTACTCCGAAGAAGAACTTATTCTTTTTACAAGAATATTATAAAACTTCATCAAGTAAAAGAGATTGATTAGATTAGCAAGTAGCAAGCAAACCGAATTTTTGTTTTAATTTAACATTCTTGATTAAAATGCTAAACTTAGGATTCAGAATATATTTTGAGTAAACATGATGGCTTATGGTGTACTTATGACAGATTTAAGGATATATAAATTTAATGAAATACCTAAAACAAGTATTTACTTGAATGTGCAGTATGTATTTTTCTGTGTGAACCATCCAGTTTGTGAGAATCATCTAATCCTTCAACACATATCTGTTGCGCGCGCGTGTTGCAAAAGTCGTACTTCGCCATTGACTACATCGTTTAATTAAGGCAAGATTTTTTCGAATGCAATAAAACTGATGATTAAAAGGTTTCTTATTTCCAATCGCTCGTTTGGAATTGTTGTTTGGGATTTCTTGCCGCGACATTTCGGTGAGAGAAGAACCTCGAAATCGTAGAATTTATGCCTGAGGTTTTCCGCATATTCGAAGAATTAACATTTCCTAGTGCGTTAATCAATCCGTAATGCACGTCTATCACACAGAAACCTCCCACGAATTCCAAACACTGGGCTCACGTGGGCCCAACGGCCAGAGCAGCGTCAGCTTCTTGGACCCGAAAACCGGAATTCTCTTCTACGCGCTTACGAATATGAACGCCATCGCCTGCTGGAAGCCGCAGATGAAATTCACCGTTCAGCAGCAGGGTTACGTGTACGCCGACAACGTCACTATGGTTTTCCCCAATGATCTCAAGGTATCTTGATCGAGAAGAATGACGAGCAGCATCGCTCAATCCTTCGTGAAAATTCATTAACATTAATAATTCAGTGACTTCGCAATTCGTTCTCGCGTAAAGATCCTTGCTGCCACCTTCAGCCTTTCCTGCCTCACCGTCACTTACTGTTAGTTATCGACTGCATGCTAACGATTGTATTTTCACGAGTCCCACTTGCCGGTGTCTGAGTGGCGTACTTAAAGTGCAAATTCCACGTAACTTCCTCTCAACAGGTTGACCGGAACGGGAATCTCTGGGTCCTCTCGGACAGACTGCCGATCTTCATGTACTCGCACTTAGACTTGCAGGACTACAACTTCAGGATTCTCATGGGATCCACCGAGGAGCTCGCCATGAATACGATCTGCTCGACGATGTCCCCGATCTACTCGACCACCATGCACGATCACAGAGATCACATGAATCACATGGATCATATGGATCACATGGACCACATAAACCGTATTGATGGCGCGATGTCGACGACGCCTAGAGTCGCCGGAAGATTTAACTCCGCCGACTCCGCCAACATTGGCTCTGTCCTCGTGACGATGACGTTATTGACGTGCCTGATCAAAACGTTCGTTTGAGGTGTTTACGTTAAGGTTATCGATGTTTTCTAACTTACCTAATCTGTCTCCGTTATTTGTGAGGAGAACGTCGGGTGAGATGATCGAGAAACGATCGAATGATTATTCTCTCGGAATAATGCAGTCCTTGCTCGTCGCCGAGAGTAATTCGGATGGCTTCTCCACGTGTACAGTACAATTCCTTTTCGCTAATTATGCGTGTCATTCTTTCCTTATCGTTGTATCTCGGGAAGACAAACGTTTTCTCCTTTCGCCGCGTATTATTATTATTATTATCTACCTACTCACGTTGGAACTGCCATTATATATTTATGTATCAGATATATATAATGTAATATATACTGTGAAAAAAAGAAAGAACCCTATGTGATTCTTCCATATTCCCCATTAAATTTTGCGTGAAGAAACGATCTCGTATTCGAGAGTAATCTTAAACGTCGCGATAATGACGTGTCGAGAAGATCTTGCATCGAGACTTATCTCTCAGATTCATCGTATTTATTGTTTAGCGCGGAAAGAGTGTCGCCTCTCTCGCACCTTGTTTTCCATTCCGTTCTTTCATCGCGACCTCGATTCCACGTTGATCTCGGACGAGGAAGCGTCGATAAATCTCGTTGGTCAATGCAAAATCTGGCGCGTTACAATTGCTAGAGGCCACGAGTTCCGCGCATGAATCACGGAGAGGAGCGAAGAGGGAAAGAGCGCGGATTGCTGCTGCCGATGACACTCGTGAACGTAATGAGGACTGCGCATTGAACGAGCAGCGAAACGACGAAAAAGCTTTTACATGAGTCATCGTGCGTACGCGTATTTATGCATCTGGTCTGGCGCGTAAATAAATGTACGTTGCATCTGCACTGTCCGTTGAATGCTCGCCTCGACTGCAAACAGCTGATAAACGTGACCGGTGCCTCGCTTCATCTTTCCGTGACACTTCAGGTCTATATTCAAACGGATTTACACAAGGCACACAGAAGCACATACAGAAAAACGTAAGCAATAAAGCTGAAGCACTAATCAAATTGACCAACTGACCGATTTCACTTACGATCCAAATTTAATTGATAAAATTTTTTACTGCACTGAGAAAAAAAATATCTTAAAATTTTTATTAGGGACATTACGAACATATTTACTTAAATCAAAATTCTTTTCATTTAAACCGAGTACTATTTATTCGGTTTAAGTGAATAATACTGAGTTTAAATGAAGAAAAAATTGTTATTTAAGTAAATATATATATATATTAATAATAATATAATTATATAAATAATAATAATAATAATAATTAAATAATAATTATTATTATTAATAATTATTATTATATAAATAT